TGATATCTATTCGGTAGCAATTGCTTCACATCGTGAAGTACACCCGTATATGTCTCGGCGTTGACTTCGACTTTGAGCGGCAAATGATTTTGAGTGGGAGTTATGCCAAACATAGAGCACAACACATCCGATAACATGAAACAGAGCCGTCGGGCTAACCCTTTGGCGCACTCTTTATTATCTAAATCCTTGTGATATTCACACAAATCATGAATGGCGTAATCATATACCGAGGATTTCATTGCGCCTGTAGTGAAGTAACCATAAAATAACATGAATTGCATGTAAGCTATTGGACACACATCAGGACATACCCTCTCCGGCCGCCATAGATATGGTGTGTCCGCCAGATTTGGAGATGTAGTACAAGAGTAGCACTAAATCGAGAACTTCGAGATCCCATTCAAAGCTGGTTTTGTTGATCTCATTGTACTTGTGTTGCAACCACTGAAAGACTCCTCTGTTCTGTTCGATGGCGTCTTCGCGACAGAAGACCAACATTGGCGTCGGTTTTCCCGTCATTTGGTTCGTAAATCTCGACTCTTCGAGGATTTGTTTCATGTCTTCGACTAACTTCTCGTAGTTATTGGTCGCCGGATAGAAGTCACTCAAAGGGATCTTATGACTCGTTTCCGCCCAGTCTTTGGCGGAATGCATGTATCCTTCGGATGACAAACAAAAGCATTCATAAAACAAGTGAACAAACGGTAAAACTAATGGTAAGTATGAAACCTAAGGGCACTTTTCCGGCGTCAATGAACTCATGATAACTGAATTTAATGCCCGAAGCGATAGAGTACTGACAGATGCCTATCTCGAGGGGCGGGAACTCCATCTTATCGGTCCTACACATGACATTTGTGGCCACAATGAAGAACGAGGCGTTCATCAGCTGATCCCGAGTACCGCACGCCTTAACACAGCACTCAACCATCTTGTCGCGGTACTCCTCACGTCCGCAGTCGTCGTCGATCTCATTGGAAGTGTTGGCGACTATTCGGCCCAAAGGGTCGACCTTTTGGTTGTAAGGTCTGGGCGTCACTGCAATGGTCTGACTCTGACTCCTCTTC